AACTCACTATGTAGCTCAGGCTGGTCTCGAACTCACAGCGATCCTCCTGCCTCAGCCTCCTGAGTGCTGGGATTACAGGTGTGTGCCACCACGCCCGGCCACTTTTTTTCTAATTTTTGAGAAACTATCACTGTATAGTCCAGGCTAGACTTGAACTCTATGTAGCTCAGGCTGGGCTTGAACTTGCAGTGATCCTCCTGCCTCAGACTCCCAAGTGCTGAGATTACAGGTGTGCACCACCATGCCTGGCTATGGAGCTTTTTGTTGTTGTTGTTGTTGGGTTTTTTGTTTTGTTTTGTTTTGTTTTTTGTACTGAGGTTGAACTCAGGACCTTGCGCTTTCAAGGCAGGCATGGTGTCACTGAGCTAAATCCCTGGCAAGCTGTGGAGGTTTTTTTAATCACACTTTTAATAGCTTTGTCAGCATCTACATAATAGGATTTTTCTCACACAGTCAATGGAAGTTAATTTTTATTATGGGTATTCTTGTTCTACACCCTTATGAGTTTGCCTTTTTCCATGTCAAACAGCTTTAAATCTAAATGCATAAACCACATACACACACACACACACACACACACACACACACACACATACACGTGTGCTCCTTCACACACATATAATTTTACATTGTTTTCTTTGGGGCAGAAATGACCTAGTGTTTCTTGAAAGTGAGAAATACAGTGTCCCTGAGCTGAAAGCGCCTGGAGGTTAAGCGTGTCCCAGTTAAAGCTCTCAGAGTGTTTCTTACACAGGTGCCTGCTTGGCCTCTGTGTCTGCTGCTGTTCCTATGTGCAATGCTATTTTAGAATCTTCTAAATTCTGATCAGTTAGGAAGTGCATTCCTTCATACTGGTGTTCTCTCCCCAAGGTCCTTACAGACAAATCCCCCTTCCCTCAGAGGTCTGTCATGTGTCTGATGCTTGCTTTCTGACTGAGGCCCTTACTTTAATGGGTTAGAAAGTTCCCGGGAGCCAGCAGTGGACAGAATCCCCTGTCCTCTCATCTGTCACTGCTGATGGTGCTAGGTTGCAGGGAAGCATTTTCTTTCCTGCCTTTCTGCTGTGCTCCCTGGAAATCGTTCCTTTTTGCTCGTTGTGCAGTAGGACCTGGAGGTTGTTCAGAGGCTCAGGTGCTCGCTGGGCATGGGCAGCAGGCATGGGCAAGGCTGCCCCCGCAGGGTAAGCAGTATGAAGCCGATGAGTGTGAATACACTTGACTAACAAGAGAGAGTCATGGGGCGAATCTAACGGAGACTGTGAGTCAGGGACCCCCTCTCAAGGAAAGCCACATCTAACTGGGACCTGCAGGGTGGGGAGGGTTGCTGATTTAAGGGGTGCTCGGTGTGTTCCAGACAGGGGGCAGCACGTGGGGACAGAGCTCGAGGAAGGTGGTGTTCGTGGAGCTCAGGGAGCGCTTGAGATGAGGTAGGAGGGAAGAGGCTGAGGCCCGTGGTGAGGGTCCGGGAGAGGTGCCGTTACGTCACCACCTAGCACACGCGGCCCTCTGTGTATTTACCTGTTTGATTATCCCTCTGAGCATTCCAGTTATCCGTCCCCTCTGTACAGTCGTGCAGGTCCCCTCTCATACATACATACACACACACACACACACACACACACACACACACACACACACCGCAGAGCCTGCCTTGTTTTGCTCCACCTAATTGGCTTTGAGACTGAATTGTTCAGGGAAAGGGTGAAGAGCTCTCACTTTAATTTCCTACACAGAAAAGATGTTTGGATTGAGGGGAACTGAGAATAAGGCAGTGGTAAGGGTATTGGTCAGCTGGGGTTACCATAACAAATACTGAGTGCTCTGAAACCCAGAAACTTATTTTCTCACGGTTCTGGAGGCTGGAAATCCACCCCAAGGGTTGGTTTCTCCTAGGCCTGTCTCTGGGACCTGCAGATGGCTGCCTTCCTGCTGTGTCCTCAGATGCCCCACACCACCACCTCTCCCTCCCTCTCCCTCTCTCCCCCCTGCCCACCTTCTCTGCCGTCTCCTCTTATAAGAACACTGGTCTTTTTGGGCTGGAGCCCTACCTTATGTCCTCACTTGATATTAAATATCTCTTTAAACCCACCGGGCTGGGTTGTATACGCCTGCACTCTGGAGGCTGAGGCAGGATCGCTATAAGTTCAAGGCCAGCCTGAATGACAGAGGCTGCTTCTCCAAAATACGAAAAACAAACACAAAACCCCCTCTTTAAGAGCCCTAATTCTGTTGAGCGTTAAAGCTGCAACATAAGATTTTGGGGGAAACATCCAGCCTGTAACTGTAAGGTTCTTAGTGTAATTTGTGCCCGGCTGATAGAAACTGGATGCATCCCTTCAATTTAAAAGAATAATGAACCTTGTACTTGCCTGTGCGTGCGTGCGTGTGTGCGTGCGTGTGTTTGTGTGTGTGTGTGCGTGTGTGTGAAGAGCGAGAGAGAGACAGACACAGAGAGAGATTAAATGAATGACAAGGAGAGAGAAATTTTCACTGTGGGCACAGTCACCGGAAGGAATTTCTCTGCCCCAGTTGTGGTTGAAGTTTATCCTCAAATAATTCCAGCTGGAGCGACTGCTGCTCAGCCTGGCCAGCACATGTGCTGAGCTAGGGTTGACCTCCCTCTGCGCCCTCCCTCCTCAACCTTCCTGTTCTTCCTTTTTAAAAAAATGTATTTGTTTTGAGACAGGGACTCACTGTGTCGTTCAGGCTGGCCTTGAACTTACTATGTATGTGGCCTAGGTTGGCCTCAAACTTGCATCGATCCTCCTGCCTCAGCCCCCTAAGTGCTGGGATTGTAGGCGGGCACCACCACGCCCTGCTGTGCTCCTCCTGTCTTGCCAGTCCTTCCCACAGCACCCCTTTTGCTGTTTCTGCTGAAAAGTCCCAGGGAGATTCTTGATGAAAAGCTCACCAGACAGGGCCTGCTAATGGCCTTGCCAAAGGTTTCGACCATGTAGCCACCCTTAAACTACGCCGCCTCCCCGCCGCGTCCCCAGCTGCCTTCTGCTCCTCTCCTTCATCTCACGGCAGTCACCACGGAGGTCTCCCGTGATCCTGAGACTATGGGCGTGGTCTCACGTGACTTTCCTGTCTCCTCCTCCAAGTCCTAGGTCTGACTGGCTTCGTACTCACCTACTGTTTCTGTCCCAGGATGTGATCTTTCTGTTGCCAGATTCATATCTCCTGCTACCTACAGCACTGTAACTCCTTCAAAAAGTTATTTGCCTGTGTTTTTTAATGATACTTTCAGTGAGATAATTCATATATTATTCAGTCACTTAAAGTATACAATTCATGGGTGGGTAGTTTGTTTTGTTTTGTTTTTTTTGACATTTTATTTATGACAGTTCATTGGTTTTTAATGTAATCAAACTGGTGCAACCATCACCACAGGTAATGTTAGAACATTTTCCTCAACCCCAAAGGAAAAGCTGTACCCTTTAGCCCTGCTCCTCTCCTTGTCCCCCGGCTCCTGCATCTCTCCCTGCCCTAGGAACCTATACTAATGTACTTTCTGTCTCTTAAGGATTTTCCATTATGGACATTTTGTTTAAGTGGAATTATACACACTTCATGACTGGTGTCTTTTGCTTAGCATATTTTCAAAGCTCGTCCGTGCTGTAGCTAGTGACTCCGGATTGCTCTTAGATGTAAAGCCAAACTGCTCAATGCACTTAATGCATGATCTGCCACCTCTGTGCCTCTCCAGTCGGGCTTCTCTCTGCTCACTCCCGTGTACTTTTTCTCCAGCTTCTCAACTAAATGGACTTGCACGTGCTGTGCAGCATCTCTGTTCCCTGATTGCCCGAGGCCTGCTTTGTTCTTCTCAGTCGCTGCACGGCTTCTTCCCCCGAGTCCTTAAAGATGGGTCCTCTGACAGTTCTGCAGTCTTTTCTGTCTGTTCTCTCATCTTCTGCAGCTTCCACGTCACCTGTGTGCAGATAAGCACCCCTGTCTGTGCCTTAGCCCATTTTCTGTCTTTATCACAGAATGCCGGGAAGGGGAAATTTACAAAGCAAAGAGGTTTGCTGTGGCTTCTGGTCTTGGAGGCTGGGAAGCCCAAGAGCATGCTGGCTGCATCCGCTTCACTTCCAGGGAGGGCCCCATGCTGCGTTACCTGGGGGTAGAAAGCAGAGGGCAAGCAGCCCCCGGGCAAGAGAAACACGAGGGGCAGCCTCGCCTTATAACAACTTGCTCCCTTGAGAACAAAACTCACCCCCTTCAAACTCTGCCACTTCCACACAAATTTTGCTGATCATTCTTTTCTTAATAAGATTCCCCCTCCTCTTTGAACCTCAGTACTATGTTATATTTGACCTTTCTGAAACCTGCCCATTTCCTCCCTTGTTTTGCAGCTGTTTATGTGTGCATCTCTTGCCCATTACTGAATCGGGAACTCTGAGGTGGAGACTGCCTTAATGGCCTTGTTTTGAGTGGAAACGCTATAAATAATTCTTGAGTTGCCTACCTAGAACAAGGAATGGTTCTCTTTCCTTTTGTTCGTAGTCTGCAAGCACGCTGGGGTCTGGGTGCTCTTCCCCTTTTCTTCCTGGATAACCACACAGGCCCATTTTGCTATACCAAGCAAGAGGTTGTGCCTCTGTCTGCCTGTGCAGGTGGCCAGGGGCAGCACCTGCTGTCTCAGTGCCCTAGGACGTGCAGAAGACAAACACCGTGGGAGGTAGAATAGCTGAGGGGCAGGCAGGGAACGAGGATAGATCTCAGAGGAGTGATCCCAGAGGAGAAGACTGAAAGGACAGCAGCTAACCGAGTGCTTACAGGATGGAGAGGCACAAGGGTACCTGTCTTGGTCGCGTGCTGGCGGAACTTCCTGGAGACCACTGTGCACCTGGCAATGCCCAGCATCAGAACGTCTGCCAGCACCGCGTTCACGCACTTCAGAGATGTGTGTGTGCGTGCACACGTGTGTGTATGCCTGTGTGTGCCTGTGTAAAGAGAAAACATGAGCTACCACAACCAGCTTAGAGGCTCCTTGTCTTTCTAGGCTTATTTTGCAGAGGGAGAAGCACTTCCATTATCTGAAAAGAGGCCTTCGACAACTGACTGATGCCTACGAGGTAAATACGTTGCCCAAGAATTCTTTCTGTCAAATTCTTTACCAAGTGCTCCTTTTTGGTTTCCACCCCCACCCCATTTGAATGGAAAACACTGTTGGACCTGACTTGTTGCAGATTCACACATACTGTGTGGCTCTGACAGGAAGCAGGAGGCTGTCGCCAGCTGGGACGCCACTTCTGACAAGAGCAGAACCGGGCTGCTCCAGTCTCCTCTTCTAGAGTTGGTGGGGGACTCCGATGCAGTGAGCCTTTCCTCCACCATGCGGTCACAGCTGAGGGTTTCACGCACCTTCTCCTGACCCCTTTGACAGCTGAGTCAGTTACCCAGTCAGGCCCAGGCCTCTGCTCTAAGCTGAGCTAGTTTCCTCCCAGCCAGAGGACCAGCATGGGATCCTCAGAGAGCACTACTTGCATTTAACACTGTTGGCCCAACTTACAGTGGATGTAAAGCGTATTTCCCAGAGCCCTGGGGTTTGCAGGGGAGCTCAGCGTATGTGGTGGTGGAAGGCTCCGGAGCTGGGAGTGGGGCTGAGTGACGGACACGGGGTGGAGGTGAGCAGGAGGGCTCCAGTCTTCCTCACCCACGTTACGCAGAGCAGATCCACTTTTAGTCTGCTTTTATTTGGAGGGTCTACTTTTGATTATTATGGCACATATTTGCTGACTCCAATGCATGTAGGGCCCAAGGAAGTAGCAAAGAGAGGCAAGTTGGGCTGAGTAGAGGCCTCTTGTATTTACCCCATCTCTGATGGCTGCTGCCATTGGCAAATGCAGACCCAAGGTTGCCACTTTTTTTCCTTCAGATAAAGCCAGAAATCCATATTTTATCTGACTCTCCTATCATAAACGTTGAAACCAATTCCAGTTAAGCCGCAGAACACATACATAGGCTGGATTTGTCATGTGAGCTATCAGGTTTCAATCCCCCAGTCACGGCCTCATTGGTTAGTCTTGTGTTAGTCATCTTTCCATTGCTGGGACCAAATCCCTGACACACAACTTCAAGGAGAAAAGGTTTCTTTGGTTAATGGATTCAGAGGTCTTAGTCCATGGCCAGCTAGCTCCAAAGCAGAAAGAGATCGCAGAGGAGAGCTGCTCATCTCGTGAGAGTCAGGAAGTAGAGAGGCAGGGAACAGCCAGAGACCTCACCCCCCAGTGACCATCTCCTCCAGCTGGGCCCCACCTGCTAATCCCATCGATGGATCGATTCATTGGTGAGGTTAGTGACCTCATGATCCAGTCGTTCCCTCCCTTGGAACACAGGGCACTTTGGGGGCACAGATTAGGTCCAAACCATAACAGATCCCATCAGTTTGATGCAGGTAATGCCATAGCAGCTGGCAGTCTACTGAGCAGTGTGGTAAAATCTTACCTTGCGTTCTCTAACCATGAGTTGGGGCAGCCTTTATTTTTTGCAAAGAAGGAAGTAGGCATAGATAAGGTAATTTGCTAGTCAGAAGAACTGTGATTCAAACTTAGGCCAATGCTTAGCAGTGTGTTCAGTGGCCCCCAAGTGACCAGTTAACTGCAGCTTGGATTGTCAGCACATTTTTGAAGAGGTCAGCAGCTTGGGCTTATGAAATGAACACTGAATTAAAAGTCTAAAAACCTACATTTTTGTCTCAGTTTTGACATTTAGTACAAGACCTTATTCTATAATTGGAGCACTACTACTGCTACCACCTGCCCAGCCTAGCCTTGAATCTCAGTAGCCACGCAGGCCTTGAGTTACAATTGAGGTCTGTCTACGCGTTAGCTTTGAAAGCCTGTGCCACCTCCCCAGGCAGAATGAATCTCTTCCATGCTCGCTCAAGGTTGTTTCCAGAATTTCTACAGGAGTGTGTACTTGTGTGCTATGTTTCGCTTCGTTCCCGAAAGACATAGAGGAACTTACAGTTACGGGGACTATCTAAAGCCCTCTTCTTTTAAGGTGACACATATTCTATACTGTACCCCAAACATCTGCAGAACCAGAACCAAAGTCCTTTTTATTATCTGCCCCCTGTGTTTGTGACAGTGCTTGGCACAAGTAGTTACCAAATATTTATAGATCTGAGAATGAGTTAATCTAGAAACTCTCTTTCTGAGGTTATATAGATTCCTTGGGTCTGTACCAGGAAGACAGCAGCCCTTAACTTCCTGAAATGCAAGAAGTCCTCTGCTCAGCTTCCTTAGATGTCTACTGGGAAGGGACTTGTTGGGCGCAAGGCAAACTTTTTTTAATCCCTTTTCCCTTTTCTCACGGGTAATCATTTCAGTCCTGGCTAAGGCCACACAATTAAGTACCCCTCATTTACCAAGTAAGAGTGCCCTCCTCCCCTCACCAGGCCTCAGGGAGTGAGACAGCACCAGCCTTGTCAGCGGGTCTCAGAGCAACTCTGAATAAGGGCATGTTTTCTTCCTGTCCCTCTCACAGTGTCTGGATGCCAGCCGCCCATGGCTCTGCTACTGGATCCTGCACAGCTTGGAGCTCCTGGACGAGCCTATTCCCCAAATAGTGGCCACAGAGTGAGTCTGGCTGGGAATCAGGGGTACTTCTCTGGGATTGCATCCTGACTCTGGGGTTCCTTTCTGTTTGTTGTGATGGGGAAAAAGAGTGCTACCAAGAAGCCCTTGCCCTTCTCTTGACCTCCAGCAGCTTCCTGAAACTCCTCCACTTCAAATGCCTATTGTAAGAGGGTGGGTAGAACAAGACTTTGAACTCCAAGAAAAGGATTCTAGTTCCCTCTGTGGCCTTTTCTTTTGGCTCTTGGCTCTGATCTTTGAGAAAAGTTTTTACCATCGACTGAGAGATACAGTTGCTTAGCTGCTGTGGGGAAGTAGGGCCAACTCAGTGAGCAGAAATCACCTGTGCCCTCCACGACCACCCCTTTGGAAGTGCCTCTTCAGAAGTGCCTGCAGCATGGGGTAGCTCTTGACAGGACTGGATGGGTCACTGTCTTAGTGTACCTGTGTCATGATTCAGTTTTCATAAACTTCTGATGACTAGAGATCTGATCAACTGAGATTCTTCCTGAGCCGCTTGTGCGGATCGTGTTTGCAGAATGGCACCTCATTCTCAGCAGCTCATCACCACTGATATGTTAAGGGAAAAAAGCCTATCATGACCCCAGTCTTAGGGATACCTGGGATGGGCAGGGACAGCCGGGAGTGGAACCCAAGAGGCCCACACAGTGAGCCTGTCCTCTTGGCTTGCATTCCTCTGCTCCCCTGGTGTTCCAGAGGGCCAGGAATATGGGGCCCAAGGTCCCTGAGCCAAATCCCTTCTTCACAGCACAAGGTGGCAGCTGTGTGGGGACTGGTGGAGGCTCCCTGGGGCCTCCCTGGTCACAGTGTCCCTGCCTTGGTCACATTGTCAGGTCCGAAGAACAGAAGTCACATTGTCTCATTCATTCTCTCTTAACAATAACCTCTCATTCTTGCTTTCCTGGGCAGGGTGTCTTGTGATGAATGTGGATGGGGAAGATAATAATGCATTAAGCCCTTAACCCTTGTGATACCCGCTTTCTGAGGCAGAGAGAAAACATGCGCTGTTTTGATCATCAGGATTGCTTCCAGCCCTGGAAGTAGAGCTGGACACAGTTTCTGCAGTAACAGGAGTTTAATTGTCAAAATAAAGGCCCATGTGTTTTTGAAATACCATTTGGGGGTTGGGGGCCATTTCTTCCCCACACCTACACACTCAGGATGTACACAAAACTATGAACGGGAAAGTCGCCCAGGAGAGAAGTGGAAAGAAAAAGGAGGGTTTTGTGTGAGATTCGCAGATGCCTGACGGCAGATTTAGACCAGGTTGAAGGTGGGACACAGTGATGGGGTTTCCTGTAGTGGGGTAACTCATGTGGATGTCGATTCTGAGTTTTTTCTGGGTTGTATAGTTGGTGTTTTATCATTGGGTTCAGTTTGTTTGCTGAGACAGGATCTCACTCTGTAAATTCAGGCTGGGTTTGAACTCACTATATAGTCCACGCTGGCCTCGAACTCGTTATCATTGGGGTTTTTTGAGGGAAAATGTGTCCAAGCTACTTTGGCGGTGATACCAGAGGGGAAAGGGGCACCCTTTAAAGGGGTTTTCGTAGTGAGCAATTGGAAACAACCTAAAGAACAGCAGTTAGGGGCTTTAACATCTATTTAAAGTTTAAGTAAATTATAGTATAGTAAGTACAAAGAAATAATATATGTATCCATTTAAAACTTTGTAAATATATTTAAACTTGCATATAAATGTACATATTTATATAAAGAGATGTGAAGTGAAAATGGATAAAAAGATTCAATTTTTAAATTCTGGGGAGGTGGTTAGGGATTGAACCCATAGCCTATGTAAATGCGAGGCAAGCACTCTGCCCCTGAGCCGCATCTCCAGCCCCTAAAATTCAACTTTTAAAGGGGAAATGGGGTCGAGAGGAGGTGGAGGGGAATGGGATTAAAAAGAAGAAGCAAGATATATCATATACAGGTCCAAATTCCCTATGATGAATGTTATCATTATGCATAGCTAAAATGTACCCATAAATGTTTTGCTTCAAACAAATAAAATTCAACTCTCATAGATTATCATATGCATTTTAAAAAACAGAGAGATACATACAAACCTGCTTAGTGAGGTTAAAGATGATTTAAAATTTTTCTTCTCTAGGCTTACTTACATTTTCTAAATGTCTACAATGAATTACAAGACTGTTTTGAAAATGAAGAAACTGGATGTAGTGGTGCATGCCTGTAATCCTAGCACTGGACTGGGCTGAGTAGGAGGATCAAGAGTTAGAGGCCCATCCAAGGCTTCAGAGTGAAACCCTGTCTCAAAAGACCAAAAAATAAAACTAAATAGGCTTACTTGTCCTGATTTCAAGAGCCACTTGGGTAACAGCTGAGAGGGTCTGCTTCACAGCTGCCGTAAAAGTTTTACCTGTGGCTCTTCCGAGCATGGATTTAATGAACTTTTAAAGAGTGACTTGGACTTCCCAATAATGTCACTGGATTTTGTTATGTGCTTAGCAGGCAGTTCGTTCTAGATGCAGATAATAATGCAGATGTTGTGAACAAAACCTAGTGGCAATTAAAATTCAGAGCAATGTTAATGACTTTTATAAAAATAGAGGGTATTTTCTCTTTTAGACTACCTGAAATAGGATGTTACCTTTTTGTTTATTTTGCACAGGGAAAAGGAATGCTTTGAAATGTGATCGGATTTTTCCCCTTCATACAGATTTAAGGTGGCACAGGCAGGTGTAGCTCTGGAGTTTTATTATTTGCCTACTCGCTTCCCTATCCCTCCTGGCATTCACTGCACACTTACTCTACACTTACGCGGGAGTTTCTCTCACTTTCCTATTTTGTTCTCTTTGTTTCTGATTGTTTAGGGAACAATATGATAGCTTAAGCTGAGTTCCCTCTAGTGGACAAAAGCACTTCTGTCAGCGACTGTGACTGCTGACCAAAGCCAGCAAGGCTAGGCTTTTGCTGCTGCTGCTATCAGATGTTTCAAGAGGGATACATTCGGAGAGGGATTTAGCTTGCTTCTCTTATGTGATTATATAGACAGACATGTTCATTTACAAAAAGTAAACTCATGTGTTGGATCCATTTACTTTACATAATGATTTTAGCACAGGAGGAAGAAGTGTGTAAAGAGAACCCCATGCTTTGGAATTAAAAGCTGCTGAAATGAAAAAAAACAGAGCAAAGTGAAAGCCACAGGGAGACCACTGCATGGTTAAGGTTAGGTTTTCTGGATATAGTTCTGAACAGTGCTGTGTTTATGATGCCTTTAAAAAATGTGCTTGTTTGTTTGTTTTTCCTGGGCACAGTGCTGCACACTGTAATTCCAGCTACAGTACTTGGGAAGCTGAGGCAGGAGGTTTGCCAGTTTAGGACCAACCTGGGCAACTTAGGGAGACCTAGTCTCGAAAGGAAATGAAGATGAGATGAGATGAAACGGGCTAGGGATGTGGCTCCACGCCAGAGTACGGGTCTCCAAGTCCTGAGTTTGGTCCCGGGACTGCAAACAAGCAAACAAAAATAAGCATGTTTTTGTTATTGGTTGTTGACTCCTCAGGGACTTTAATCTCTGGTTATTTCCTGCTGTGTTCCTAGTCATTTCCCATCTTGTATTTATGTGCTTTGCCCATTCCCCCTTCTTAAATGTATTGCTTGGTACTTGTGTCTGTTTCATTTGTTTAGTTCTGGGCTCTGATTTGTTTCTCTGTTTTGTATTATTTAGTTCCTGTGCATACTTTTTTTTTTTTCCGGTACGGGGTATTGGACCTACAACCTTCACAATGAGCTACATCCCATCCTGTGTTTTATTTTTTATCTTGAGACAGGGGCTCACGAGTTGCTCCAGTTGGGCTCACATTTGCAGTCTTCCCACCTCACCCTCCCAGAGTGCTGGCATGACAAGTGTGCACCACCGCTCCAGGCTTGCGTATACTTTTGAATCCTTCATGCTCATGGGTGACAATCTTGCCCAGAACCAGCCACTTTAGAAAAGTCCTCAACCATTGCCTGAAAGTCCCAGAAAACCTCTTATAAGGCTGATAGTAAATCATTGACATTCTTGCTTTGAACTTGATGCTCTTACATAATCTTTAATGGCTGGACGACAGAGCAGTGGTGACCAGAACTTTCCGCTGTAATGGGAGTGTTCTCCGCAGGACTTCTGCGGTCCTGTTTGATAGCCACTGCCAGACTTGACTGTTGAGTACTTGAAATATGGCCCATGTGTGGTTGAGATGATGAGGTTGTGTTTTTTGAATTTTGAATTTTACTAAATTTAAATTAAATGTTGAACAGCCTCTTGTGGCTAGGGGCATGGGTGCTATGAGGAAGACTGTTAGAAAGTCAGACTCTTAGGCCCATCTAATTCACTATAGTGACTATAGTGTCACAAGATTCTCCGGTGATTCTGTGCACAGTCAAGTTTGAGAGACACTGCTCAAGTACTTGGGTGAACATTAGAGTCACAGAGCTTTTAAAAAATACTGCCACCTGGGTGCATCCTCCGTGATTCTGATTTAAGTATTGGGTGTGGCCATGGCATTGGTTTTTTGGTTTTGTATGTGTGAATACTGCGAATTGAAACCAGGGCCTTTGCACTGAGTTTTAATCCTCAGCCCTTTTTATTTTTTACATTTGAAACAGAGTCTCACTGAGTTACTAAATTGCCCAGGCTGGGCTTGAACTTGCAATGCTCCTACCTCAGCTTCCTAGAGTGCTAGAATTATGGGCACGCACCACCACACCCAGTTAATTAAAAAGAAAACAAAACCAAAGTGAGGTCTGGGCTCTTGTTGGCTTCAGGAGGCCAGGGCCCGTGTATTCCTTATTAGCTCCCCAGTGATTCTGACAGCACACATTTTGGGTTTGAAAATCTCTGCTCTCCAAACAAAGGTAGTGTTCCACTTTGTTGGTGATTGTTGTGGAGGCCAGAACTGGGAAAGCCTTGATGACATCAAAAGAAAGTTGGTCCACAGCCTTGTCAAAGTGTCTGGTGTATCTAAGGGAGCCGAAAACAGGCCCACCCTTGTTGTTTACACAATGTTTCCTGCTTGTAAATTTTTTATTAGTTGGTGAATTTTTGGTCTCTAAGTTTTTCTTTCCTTTTTGATAGTTTGAAGTCCCATTAACATCTTGGTTTCCAGAAGTGCTAAGGCCACAGCTGGTGGCCTTGTGGTCACTTTGCCAGCGCCTTAAGGTGCAAGCTGGAAAGCCAGAGGATCAGAATGTTCTATATGGGGAAGTGAGATGCGGGAGCCCCACCTCCAGCCTTCAGCACAGTTCAGGACAGTGCGTCAGCTGAGGGCACTTGGCATGGAGGGGCGATATCGGGGTGTCTGGTACATTCCGATCCTCACTCGTGCCAGACTTCAGGCCACAGGGTCAGGAGCACTGCATGCAGTACAATTCTATCTTAGGCACTGGGGAAGGGAATGAATTGCTTAGGTGACTCTTTGCTTTCTTTCTTCATTTAAATAATGTGCTACGGTTTTATTGTTTTACGTTGCTGTGGATCAAACCCAGGTAAATCTTCACCACTGAGCCACATCAGCTGAACCTTTTGCTTTTGTGGTATAGAAAACTTAGTAGGCTATCGCAACCAACTTAGGGTCTGAGTTTGTTAGCTACCTATTTTTGGGAAATGGTATAATAATTGCTGAAATTTTGGAAAATATGTTAGGAACAATTTCTGGTTTGTTTTTTGGGTTTTTGTTTTTGTTTTTGTTTTTGGTACCAGGGATCGAACTCAGGTCCTTGGCTTGCAAGGCAGGTGGCGGCACCACTGAGCTAAATCCCCAGCCCCGGAACAATTTCTATTAAAAAAGTATGACAAGAGTTGTCTCGCTTCTCTGTCAGCCTCAGTTTCAATCCTTGTGTTTCCGACAGTGAAATTTTAGGTGTAAATAGAGGTGAATGGATATTGTTTTAATCTTTGAGATTTCAAAACTGAAATAGCAAGGTGGGAGCATTTTCTGTTGCTGTCCCTGCCCCAAAGGTAAAAGGTCTGAAATGAAGTAATCAAATACGAGGTAGGGAAGCCACAGGAACTGTGTCTTCGTGGAGCTTAGCCTATGTGGACTTCCTGGCAGCAATGTGTAAGAAATAATGAGACGGAAGAGCTCATGAAAGAAGCTGCTCGTCAGATGGTGGTGCATGGCTTTAATCCCATCACTTGGGTGGCTGAGGCAGGAGGATCATGAGTTTGAGACCAGTGTGGGCTACATAGTGAAATTTTGTCTCAAAGGAAGGGTAGGGGGTCACCTGAGCACAAGAAAGAAATGGGTTTGCTGTGTGGTCCCTTAAGTGGAAGTTTTCCCCCCAGTACGACTGTGAACTGTTGAGCCCTGGGCAAACAACTTGAGAAGTGGGGCCTTCAAGGAACACTCCTTTTCAAAGAACTTCAGAGGACCCTGGACAAATAGGGACTCTCTTGATGTCACCTAAAGCAGGAAAGTAAATCTCGATGCCCTGCTCAGAGGCAAACCTTCAGTAAGCAGTTTTCCTCCACGAGGGGACAGGAGCCCTTTTGGTTTTGGATTGGACAAGAGACTGCTGTTCTCTTGTGATGTGTGTCACCTGTGCCCCTGTGGCATTGCCACCATCACTGAACATTGCATGAGTTTCCTCTCCTTCCCCTCAACCTCAGCTTCTTACTGGATGAGGACAGGAAGCAGCAGTGCTGCGCAGAGCCGTGAATGCGAGAGGCACCTCTGTTCTGGGAAGGCCTCAGCAGTGGGCCAAGGCCGGGTGGCCAGTGTGGAAAGAAGCAGCTGAGCACTAAGTACTAAGCAAAATCTAAGTACTAAGGGCTGTGAGGTCCCCAAAGGAAGGAGACGGGTACCCCAGATCCAGGGCTGTGAGCCAAGTGAAAAGGACAGGAGAGGCTCAGTCTGGCAGCCCGTTTTTTCCCAGCCTTGTGTTCTGTGATTCCTGACCACAGACGCTTAAATACAAGTCTCAGGAGCTGTACAAACTTGTTGATAACTGTGTAGAGAGTTGAGCTTTCGGGGCAGATTTTTCCCCTCTTTTGCAGGAGGGGAGATAATTAGAAAGATGTGGACTTTGGTAGGAAATTATTGTTTTGAAATTAATGCTCTCAACTTTGTTTTCCCTTTGGCCATGTACCTAGTGTGTGTCAGTTCCTGGAGCTGTGTCAAAGCCCAGACGGTGGCTTTGGAGGGGGCCCTGGTCAGCACCCGCACCTTGCACCCACATATGCAGCTGTCAATGCACTGTGTATCATCGGCACAGAGGAGGCGTACGACATCATTAACAGGTACAGCCGCAGCTGGCAGGACCAGGGATCCAGAGGGCTCCACCCACCGCACTGCACTGACCATTGCCTTCTGCCCCCTCCCTGCCATTTCACAGAGAGAAGCTTCTCCAGTACTTGTACTCGCTGAAGCAGCCTGACGGCTCTTTTCTCATGCACGTTGGAGGTGAGGTGGACGCGAGGTGAGTGGGCAGCTATATCACACTTCTAGAGCTGCTCTGTTGTCAGAGATGCCATGTCCAGGAATGTCCCGGCCAAGCTGCTGCTTGGTCCCAGAGTGGCAGGCCAAAGACACATCAGTGATACGGTGTCATAATCCTTGGAGATACGATACAGATGTCCTCAGGTCTCAACTTCTTTTATGTAAATCTCAAAATATTAGAAACAAAATGCTTTTATTATAAAATTTTGGTGTAAAATAATGTACCTTACAGATACACATACTTCTCTTCTAGAATATTTGAAATAATAGTTACCAGTAAAAAAGAATAGAAAAGAAAAAGGATGTATGATAAATGACCATGTAGTATAATCTTTTTTCTCTTGGAGAAGAAAGCCTGGTAGGGACCCAGTAGTACTTCTGGCTAATTGGATGAGACCCTGAGAACACTGACACCTGAGCTGTTCCTGAACCTTTCAGGTATTGTGGGAGGCGCAGAGGCCTTTTGCGCCAGCAGAGTGCAGTGCTGTCAGTTGCACAAACTGATTTGTACCTGTTGGCTCAAACTTAACTACTGCGTTTTACCAAGAACAGTGTCTTGGCTAGGCACAATAGAGTATGCTTGTAATCCCACCTACTTGGTATGCTGAAACAGGATAGCAAGTTCGAGGCCAGCTGGGATGACTTTGTGAGACTCTATCTCAAAATAAAAAACGCCTGTGAATACAGTTTAGTTTCTTAATCAGTTTTGTCTTGAAATCCACTGTCTGCAAATAGAATAACTATCTCTACTTTTTTTCGCCACATCTGCTTTTTTTCGTGTTCCTAAAGCATGGAGTATTGTTTTCCATCCTTTGACTTTCAGTCTATGAATTTCTTTTTGAGTTAAATGTGTTTCTTGTGTGCAGCATATTGTTGGATCTTGCTTCTTGATCCATTCTGCAAGTCTCTTTCTTTTGATTGGTGAATTGAGACCATTTACATTGATGGTTATAAACTGATATGTATTGACTTGTCATGTTATTTTTCCTATTTTGGTTCCTTTTTTTCCCCTTCTGTTTAATTATTTGCCTTGCCTTGTGGATTCATTCTGTTGTGGTTCATGGAGTTGTAGTCCTAATTATATCCTTTTAGAATGTCCTTCAGAACATTTTGGAGTGCTAGTTTAGTGGACATGAATTTCTTCAGGTGTTCTTTGTATGGAATTATCTTATTTTTTCATCAATTTTGAAAGATAGTTTGCAGGGTACATCAATATAAATTGGAGGTTGTTTCAGGGCTTAAAATACTTCACTCAAGCTCTCCTTGACTTAAGTTTGTGTTGAGAAGTCTGCTGTGATTCTGATGGGCTTTCCTTATAGATGGTTTGTTCCTTTTCTCTAGCAGCTTTTTAATATTCTGTTCTTATGTTGAATTTCTGGAATCTTGACTACATGCTTTGGTGTAATTTTTTTTTTTTTGATCATGGATAATTGGAGTTGTATATGCCTCAGATATTTGTATGTCAAATTATTTTTCTATGCTTGGGAAGTTTTCTGCCATTATGTCCGTGAACAGGTTTTTAAAATGTGGTTTGCACTATCTCCTGCTTTTTCATTAACTCTGATCAATCTTATGTTTTTCTTGGCATCATCTAGCAGATATTGTATTGATTTTCCATGGTCCCTTCATATTTTTAAGAAATCTTTCTTGTGAAAATAGAAGGAAAAATGGAAACAAAGTTTTTTTTGTTTTTTTTTTTTACATAGGGAGGGGAGGGAAAAATAAAATAAAGGGGAAAGAGACAAAATAAAATAAAATTTATTTTAAAAAATCTTTTCTTTCATGATTGCTCACCACAATCCTGTCTTCTATCTCTGATATTCTGTCCTCACATTGGCTCATTCTGCTGCATATACTTTCAATGAATTTTTTTTTTTTTGGTGTTTTTGTTTGTTCGTTTGTTTTGTTTTGTTTTGTACTGGGGATCAAACTTGGGGCCTTCTGCTTTCAAGGCAGGTGGCAGAACTACTGAGCTAAATCCCCAGCCCTTAATGGAATTTTTAATGTAGATACCTGTTTGAATCTGTTTCATGGATTCCATTTCTTTCCTATGCTGGGCATTCATGGTTTTCATCATTTTTTAAGCTCTTCTATTTTTTTTTTTTTAATCTGTATCTGCTCTAGAGTCACTAACCATGTCTTTCATTATAGTCACCATCTCTGTAGTTATCTGAAAGATTATTTCTGATTTGATTTTTTTCTAGTGCCTCATTCATCTGCTTTGTTTCTTCTGCTGTTACCACTTCAATGAATCCAGGTGGGTGGCTTTCAAATCGTTCCACTTCATTACCCCTTGGGTTTGCCGTTGGTGAGCTGGAAGTCTGACGTTGCATCTTGCTTAAGTGTCTTCTCATTTTGTTTTGTTTTGTTTTGTTTTTTTAGTTTAATTCCTGGGTTAATGCTCATAAATTCCTTATGGCAGATAGTTTTATTGCTAGTATTTAGTGCCTGGAGAAAATGATTAATTCTCAGTAATGTCATCCATGTGTAACTTGCTTTTGGATTTTGAGTCTGTTGCAAGAAACAACCTCTTCACTTTATTGGGGATGAGAAGTTGCTACCTATTTGGCTGAGCCCCTTGTTCTTTGGCACTGACTTATAGTAGTGTTTATGACCCTTGGCAATGTCAGTCTTAGTATACCAGGGAAAACAACTGACTAGAACTTGGCTAAAGCAATACAACCAGCAATAAAAATAACGTGAAACGCAGCCTAGAAAGTAACAAACTGGTAACTATTAATTTTCCACCTTTAACCCTATGAACTAAATTTGTGGCTATATAACAAAATCTAAAACAGACCAGAAAATTGTATACAGTAGATGTACACTCGATATGGTGATTTTTACCCTCAGGAGAAAATTTATAAGGGATTGGAAGGAAAATAGAGAAATGGAAAAGGAAGAGATTAGAAGCAGGGCTGGAGGAGAAAAGAAGATTAGACAAACTTTGGGAAACTGGTGAAGAGGACAGGAAGAAAAGTAAATGAAGAAACAAAAACAAGAACACAACAGAACAACAACAGCAGGAAAACTATGTTCATATAAAAACAAAAACCAACAAGAAAAGACAAAAAAAAGAGCTCACTTCAGTGCATGTCTCTGCTGTCACTGTTAGACAGAGCCCAGATCTTTGTTGATTACTTCCAGCAAGTCAGAAGTAGACTTTCAGATCCCAAGAATCCTGTACCTTTAGTTCCACTGAAGTTCAAACTGGTTTCTGGTTATGAGACTAAAACCCAATTTGTTCAGCCTACAACACCCCATGTGCCTCCTATTGGCTTGAACTCAGCTCCTTGACCTTCTGCCAGTTTGCACTTGGCTCTGCCTCACCCTGACACTGGCTCCGCTAGATGGAGCCAGCCTGCAGCTGCTCTGAGTTCTGAGCTCAGCTGACCTCTCTTCAAGATGGTTACTGGCCAACTACCCTCTCCTGGAGGACCTCTGAACCAGAATAACTCAGTAGCCACAGCAGTCTGCTGAATCCATTGCTCCATTCCACTGGTGTGTTTCTCTGTGGAGGCTTCTGAGGACACTGGTAGTCACTATGCATCTGCAGGTTTGAGCCTCCGCTGCTATGCAGTGAGTTTAGGGATCAGGGATAAAGTGCCACTTGCCACCTCCTTCTTTGCTTTGAGGACTCTCTCTTTGCTCTCTTTGTGGGCTTCAGTTGTCACTTCAGATCCTTGCTGGATCCCAGGGACCCACTTTCTCCTTTTTCTGTTCCTCACATTGCTGTATTTCAGCATCTGGACACTAAATCTTGGAGAGGCTGTTTCTCTGCTGTTCGTGAGTCTGCCATCTTCCCGGAAGTGAAACATAGTTTAATGTTAGAGTACTTACCTAGCATGCATAGGCCCTGGTTCAGTCCCCAGTTCTGCAAAAAGAAAGTGTGTCTGAAGTACCTAGCAAGTGGCTTCCTCACTTGGCAGGCAAATACTTAAGAATCATGCCAACCACTCACAGAACAAATCATTTCTCAAAGGCAGTGGATCACTGACATTTTTTACCATTTTGTGTCATTAGTCTGAGACATACATTTCTGGTAAGGTTCCAGTTATTGTCTGGATTTGCTTCTACACATATTGATTAATACTGTGGCTTCAGCATCTGACTTAACCATTGGTTTGAAAGTATAGGGAGAGGGAGAAAAAAAAAACCCATAAAAGTAGACACATAAAAGTATGTTAAAAACCAAAACAAAGGGCTGGGGATTTAGCTCAGCGGTTTGGTGGCCTGCCCTGCAAGCGCAAGGACCCAAGTTCAATCCCCGGTACCAAAAAACAAAACAAAACATGAAAGTTGCTGAGCATAAAACATGCTGCAGGTAAATGTAGGTAACCAGGCTGCAAAGGCTTTTACTACAACATTTTCATCTGTATGTAATTTGTTCAAACAACAACAAAATAGGATTAGTTATCTGTACATCCCAGTGAAGCCAATATAACTGTTAAATTAAAAGTGTTGTACTCATTCTACCTAAGAACATGCTTATGTGACACCACAGTCACGACATTTTCATTCCTACCTTAAATATACAGCCTTGAAACTTAACTTTAAAAAAGTTATTAAGCAAAAGAAAACAAACCATAGCAAGATCGCTTTGATCTTTTCTTGTATACCTTTTTCGATATGAATATTCTCTAAACCTCATTTGTCCAAGCACTGGTCCTTTTCTATGCTCTGATGTATTTTTGCTAGACAAATGCTGGGCAACTTCTCCAAGAAAATAGATTTGTTCCACTGAAGAGCAAAGGAGCCATACTACTATTCATCTCTCCTGCCATGGAGCCAATGCTTTTCATTCACATGGTGGGTTACAGATATAAATGTAGCCAGTGCTGTGGTGCATGCCTGTAATCCTGGGAGTCTCGGAGGCTGAGGCAGGAGGATTGCAAATTTGAGCCCAGCCTGAGCAACTTAGCAATTCAGTGAACTCCGTATCAAAATTTGAAAAGGGCTGGAGGTGTAGCTCAGTATACTAGGTTCAACCCCTAGTGTAGGGGATATGGGTATGGATAGAGCTTGTGGATTTTATCTAGGTTCCTTACTTTGCTGGTAGGACCCCGATTCCATTGCTTTTCACCTGGCGTTTCCTTAATTGTCCTTTGTCTGGAAGCACCAGCCAGTGGACCTTCGGGGAAGCTGGACATTGCCATCCAGAACCAGCTTCTTCCCGTTCCAGGTTAGACAGAGGTGATCTCTGTGTGACCTTTCAGGTCTGTCACAACTTGGGATTGTTTCTGAGACAAGCTCATTCAATGCTTATAGCTCTGATTGCAGTTCAGGAAAGAGCTATGATTTATTCCTCACCTTTAATCTAGATTATATGATTTGGGACCTTTGGTGGGTGGGTCGGGGGGGACGGATAGACAGAGATCTAACATTTGCAAAAACTTTAGGTGACAGAACATACGTGTGTTCAAGAGCTGGGCTGGGAACAGACTGGGGCGGCCCGGGAACTCTCACAAGTGTGGAGTTTATTCTGACACGTTTTAGGTTGGCAGTTATGTGATGTGATTTGTATTTTATTATATGTTCTCCATTTGCTGTGAATGGAGAGTAGTGTTTTAGGACTGGAAGGAGGGAGACTGGACCCGAGATTGATCAGGTGGAGGATAGAGATGGATTTGGGTGACTGCCAGGAGGGTAGGTAAAGAGCAGACAAAGTTGAGAGCTGTGACTGGACACAGGGAGAGAGGAAGGAGCTACTGGAAAAGTCGTGTCCCCTCCCATCTCCCTCTGAGACTTGGGACTCTCCACTTCTCAACTGTCACACTGGTGAGAAACAAGCTCCTTCATAGGCCAGAAGTTACATTAACGTTTGAGACAAGTACTTCTGAGCCCCTCTGCGAGGATCAAGGCCCAAGGAAATTAGACCCGACCTTGGAAGTTAGCTTCTGGCAAATGACAACAGTGGGCAGCGCCACACAGAATTCTCACCTGTTCCTGGTGCCTGCGCCGTGCCTTTGGCCAGCAGGAGCCTGGCTGGTAAACAGAGGTCTGTCTGGCCGGACAGAGGTTTCTCGGGAATACTCCAGTGAGTTAGGCTTCCCGTTATGTTTCTACTGAGTAAGGTAGAAACTCAGCCCATCTTTTTCCTTTGTTTAATGTTCCTTAGGAGCTCTTAGAAAAAGGATTTGTGAGCAGAATTGGAAGAAATAGTTTTTGTCTTCCCCGTGCTGGATATTTGAAAGACTGCGGTACAAAAAGAAAAGGCAGTCTGTGGACATTCCCAGGACAGGAACAAACTCAAATAAAATGTGTTCTAAGAAGAATTAGCTGAAAGGATGGAATGGCAGAATCATTCCAAATAAGTAGGATAATTTTTTTGGCTTTGTTTTGAGACAGGGTCTCACTATATAGTTGAGACTGACCTGGAACTCACTATGTAGCCCAGGCTGGTCTCGAACTCATAGCGATCCTCCTGCCTCAGCCTCCCGAGTGCTGGGATTACAGGTGTGTGCCACCATGCCTGTCAGGATAAATGTTTTTTAAAAATAGGAGTTAGGGATGTAGCTTAGTAGTTGAGCATATATTTACATGGGTTCAATCTCTAACAACAAAAAGAAAAAGGTGCTCCTTGTCTCTCATCAAAAGTTGTGTGTCTATATCTGTACTGGCGAGGTGCCTGAAGTCAAGTCAGAGCTCTTTCTTCCCTCTAGAGGTTAAAGAAGGGGCTCACCTATTAATTTCCCTCTTGTTTTATCTAAGCAGCCATTAGGATTCGGTGAGCTGCTTTGCAATATATCTGTTGCAGAAAATGTGTAGCTAATCTTTAATATGCTCATGCCACATCCAGACCCCAATCCTGGGTCTAAAACAGTCCTGACAGCTGAATAAATAGACGAGTATTATGTCTTTCCATGGCACCATAGAATCGAAGGAGCCACTGTAGGTCTTTGAATGGAGCTAAATCCACTTTTGACATGAATTGATACGGGTCTTGTTTCCTCTGACATAGATGTGACCATGTGGAGGGAGGGAGAATAGAATGTCATGTTCTTTCGTTGAAGCCATGCTGTGAGCAATTCTATCCAAAGAGAATGTCACAGCCCTCAGCTGGAGGCCCAGGAGGCCTGGCCTTGTGCCAGGGATGAGCACAGGAGGTGATTACAGTTCCCTAGGCGAAGCAAGTGATCCACCCAGGAAGTTCCGTGGGCCTCGCTTAGGCTCCTGCTTGACCCCTAATGCGTTTCCTGTCTGTTTCTGTCTTTCCAGAAGTGCATACTGTGCCACCTCGGTGGCCTCTCTGACGAACATCATCACTCCAGACCTCTTTGAGGGCACTGCTGAATGGATAGCCAGGTGAGAGAAGCCAGGATCTCCCCTGGCCTCCTAGAGAGCAGGTGATGAAGATTTTCCTTCACAAAAATAAAGACAAAACTGAAAAGGACTAGAGGGAGATATAAGATTACATTAGGGTTGCATAATTACACATTTTAATAATTCAGACTTTCGTTAATGTTGCATTACAGTTTAGATTGGCAAAGGCCAAAGTCTTCTAGAGTACTGGTGGGCGTCCACCTTGATTTAAGCAGTTTGGAGAGCAATCTAGCAGTAGCTCCGAGTGCCCTTGCTTATGACCCAATCGTTGTACTCCTGCAGAAACACACACACATGCATGAAAGGGACGAGAGATAGACTCGTTTATAAGAGCAAAAAGACGGAAACAGGTTCAGCGTTCATAAGCGTGTGGTGGGTAAGTTAGGGCAGCGTTCCACTGGAATATAATGTAGTTTTGAAGCAAATGAGCTAGAGCTACATGTGTCAATGTGGATAAACCTCAGGAATGGTACTTTTGGGAAAAAAATGTTAAAATACAACTGCATCAGCACATTTACTTAAAATTTGAAAACATGCAAAACAATTCCATATTGTTCGTATGAAGGGTATAAAAACATTTATAGGAAAAAGATATACCAAGGTAAGGATGGGGGCTCCTTTTAGGCAGTGGCTACTTCTGGTAAAGAGCAAAGAGGAGGTCCACACACATCAACCATATCTGTCAGAGCTCTTCTCTTTAAAATCAAAAAACAAAATGAACAAACAATAACAACCTTATATGTACATCATGGTTAAATCTAAGCTAGGTGTTAGATACATATATGTTCTCCGTATTATGTGCTAACTTTCCTGGATGCTTCAAATGGTTCATGATTTGGAGAAGAAAACAGGGCTGGGTGTGGTGATGCACCATTGTAATCTAGCCCTAGGGAACAAAGGCAGGAGGATCGTGAGTTTGAGACCAGCCCGGAAGGTAGTAAGGCCCTGTCTCCAACCTGTCCCTCCCCAAAAAAGAAAGGATGGAGAGGAACGGGGGTGGGGTAGGGAGAGAGATGGGAGAAGACAGGAAGAAGGGGAAGAAGAAGAAAAGGAGGAAGGCAGCAAAGCAAGCAAGAAAAGCAGACGAGGGAGAGAGAAAGGAAAGAGGCAGGGAGAAAAGGAAAGAAGGAAAGAATGAATGAGTGAACAGGGCCAGGAGTGTAGCTCCGTGGTAGGGCGCTTCCCCAGCATGCGTGAGATCCTGGCTTTGATCCCTAGGCACAAAAGAAAAAAGGAAAGCAAGAAAGAAAGAAAACAAAAGCCATGCTAGATACATGAGTACTATTTAAAATTTTTTATTTTACCAAAATAGTACTTATTACTATGTAAATATAAACTGTATAACTTGCACTGAAACCAAATGATATACTGTGATGATATTTAGTTTTTTGTATAACTCATTTTCCTGGAGTTATCCATGGCATGAATGTGTATATCATGAATTCATTCCCAAATTCTCTGCCAGCACTGTAAAATTAGTCTCCCCACAGGCACCTCTGGTGATCTGCTTTGGTGTGTGTGTGTGTGTGTGTGTGTGTGTGTGTGTGTGTGTGTGTTACCTGGGATTAGTGAACTCACGACTTTGAGTTTGTCAGGCAGGTGCAGCACCATTGAGTTAAATCCGTGGGTCTGATATTCCTAAATAGGATGAATATTATCCCTCTTGCAGCCCTCTGCCCCTGCTTTAGCCTGGACAGATTGCTCTCAGCTTGCTGCTCAGTGGGCATCCAGAAGCTTCCATTCAGCCTGAAATTCACTTCCTTTCCCTGCTTTGTTGAAGCCCTGTCCTTTGTTTGGGGGTATGTTTGGTTGGATGGTTTGGTTGACTCGCTTGTTTTAATGTACTGTACTCTGACAGGTCTTAACAAAACACACCTGGAAGAGAGATTTTTAACATCTTGTCTGTGTCTTTATCCTGTTCACAGAACCTACTGAATAGTTTATTTAGTTAGAGATTTCCATGTTGGAAATGGTATAAACGGTATTCCTTCTGAATTGTGTGAGTATTGTTCTTTCTCCTTCTGGCTTCTGCTGTCATTATTAATAAGGCAAATAATCATAATAACCAGTGTTCCTGAGGACTTGGTGGGGTTCAGAAGTCATCTGTAGTGTGGAGATTGAGACCAGGTACTCCTTGGGCTTAGTTTTTCAGTGTATTATGAGTGTCTTTTTCTTCCCTGTGGCAAATACAGAATTAGATCTGCTTTAAAAACACTTGTCCAGCCAGGTGTGGTGGCGCATGCCTATAATCCCAACACTCAGGCTGAGGCAGGAAGATGGCTGAGAGTTCATGGCCAGCTTGGGCTACATAGAGAGACCTTGTCTCCAAACAAACAAACAAACAAACAAGCCTCGTTCAGTTAACTTGGCGTCAGCTCATCACATTTCCCGGCTTGTGTGTCCGTTAGGTAGTTTGCTCTGTGTCCCGGGTATGGGGATACTGTATGACAGAGACTGAATTCCACTAGAATGTGATTGCTCCAGAAGATGCCATGCCTGTGTGTGAACGTGCTTTCAGCGGACCGGCCTCAAGCTGTCACCTTGGCGGCCGGTGGCTCTGATCTCAGATCAGTTTTGGTTTGCATCTCTTACCTGTATTTCAGCAATCAGTTAGAAACTTGGACTGAGTTTACAGGCAGAATTTGGGCTTTTCCTTTTCCTCTTCCTGGATTCTTCCTCACTTTCTGGCAGCCTCTTTTTTCCTGACAGGAAGAAAGGCTTTCTTTCTGCCGTAAGCATCAGGGCAAAGCAGAGCAAGGAAAGATGGAGTCAGAAGAGAGGCCCTGACGCCCTGCTGTTGTCCGCTCCAAGTTCAAATCCCCACCCGGCTCAGCGTATGTTGCTCAGCCGTTTTGAGCTGCCCTCAGGAAGCTGCTTCCTGTTATATGCAGAGTGCAGCTGAGGTCTGCAGCAGGATTGATTCATCAGGCACCCTGTGGATGCGGAAACCTGGCCGCCGGGGCTGAGTCCCAGTTGTGCCAGTAGTTACTAGCTTTATGCCTTGGAGGGTATCTAACTTTGCCATGTCATACTTTTCTTATATGTCAGATGGTTGGATATTGAATTTTATATGAAGCTGGAATATAAAGAAATCAAGTGGAGCTGAGTATGGTGGCACACTCCTGTAATACCAGCACCGAGGAGGCTGAGGCAGGATGATTGGGAGTCATTGAGTTTGAGGCCAGCTTGAGCTACTTAGCAAGAACCTGGGGTTGGGGCGTGGGGCTGGGGAGGCACACGCACACAGGTCCCACCAGTGGATCTGCGGGTGACGATAACCACTGTGCACGCTGCGCGCCCCAGTGCCATCATGTTGCCCACGCCTCTGTGTTTCTGTTTTGCTTCTCTCTTCTTTTCTCGGTCCTCGCTCCATCTGCTTCATGGGAGACTTTGACAACCTTTATTTCTGCTGTTGGGAGACTTAATGATGATGAACTTGAATACGAACTGGTTTTCACTCCAGGTACTGGCCACTCAGCACGCCTCTCCTGCAGGAAGCACATACGCTTCTGTGCAGACACTTTGGAATGGTATTTCTTTGGTAATTTTTTCTTTATTTTCTGTGTATGCTTTTGTTGGTAGCTTCTACTAGTGTTAATCTTCTGATTTCTTTTTAAAAACTTGGCCTGTATTTTGTCAATCTTTTTTCTTATACTTGCTGATAGCTTCCCTCTTTATTTTCTAATCCTGTTTTTATTTCTGTGATCCTATTTTTAATTTTCCAGAGCACAGTTTTGTGCCCTGAATACTTATTTTTATATTCTTCTGTTTTAGGGATATTTTATCTGTGCAAATATTCTTCATATAATATTTTTATCTAATGATATGACTCTGCAACGTGCATTTTTTCCTCATTTTTATTTGGACCCCTTGCCTCATCTTTCCTCAGATTTCTGGTATTTAGCAGCTCCCTGTCCCTATCTTAAGAGTCCAGTACTAAAAAGCCAGTGGGGGCTATGGAGACAAGGGTGGGCTAAAACCCAGCCATTCATCAGGGAATTTCATCTCTCTGTTCTGTGGGGCATTTTCTTGAGCTTATCAGTTTTCTGGAGAGAAATCTTCCAGGTTCCTGAATGGGGTATGAAGGTGGCAGCCCACACTTGACTAGTAGTGGAGACAGACGTGGGCGTTTGTGCCCGTGCAGTGCCCTTGCCCCAGTCTCCCATTTTAGTCTGTACCTCTTTCCTGTTCTCTGGAGATCCCTCGTCTTTGGGGTTTGAGGAGGGGACCTGCAGGACTAACTTTTCTTATATAAATTTGCAACCAATCATCTTCATTCACATGTGTGCGTGCCTGCCTTCTATAGGTTGTCAGAGTCACCTCTCGGGAGTGAGTTTCTCTTAACCCCCCTGCTGAGATTTCACAGTTTTGTTATTTCCTGTCTGTTTTCACATCCTTTCTGTTCCCTTTCTCTGTGCCTCTGTCACTTTTTAAATTCTTTACTTTCATTTTACTGGGCTCTTATGTTAAGTCCAATTCTCTTTAGCTAGAAGAAACTCCCAAAGAATTTTACTAAATGAAAAAAGGTACATAAGAGTGTGTATTATATGCTCCCATTTGTGTAAAATCAAAGGGAAAGTAGAACATGTGTGTGTGTGTGTGTGTGTGTGTGTGTGTAAAGACTGAGGCACAGAAACTTGACAAAAATTACTACTGGTGACAGGGACCAGGAGGCTAGAGTGGAAGGAGACCTGCTTTTCATTGTTTGTCCTTTTGTACTTTTAAAAGCAAGAACTTTTAAGTGAGTATTACCTTTTCAGCTAAACAAAGACTAGTTAAGTAATAGAAAAATCTTGAGATTCCTTGCATACATTCACTGACTGGACCTTTCAAACTTGCTGCCTTCCACCAGAAAGAGCACTTAGGACGTTTGTGTCAGAGTGGTGGTGGGGATCAGGGGACAGAGGGAGCTAAGGCTAACTGTGGCCTCTGCACTCTGATCTTCTTGAGCCTGCACGCTCTCTGTGGAAGGACTGGGGATGCCCAAGATATCCCAGGGAGAGGAATCTGGAGGCTCTGCCAGCTTTTGGGTGAGGCTTGCTCACGTGTGCAGCCCTATCAGGCAGGAGTGTGAGACTGACACACCCGTAGGGAGGGTGACTTAGGTAAACTTAGAGGCTGTTGAAAGGAAAGTTCTGCCTTGTCATGTGAAAGTCTACTTACAAAAAATGCCAGGCTGGGCGTGTGGCTCAGTGCTAGAACTCTAGCCTAGCACATGCAAGGCCCTGGGTTCAATCCCCCGCACTGCCAAAATAAATAAAAGTAAATAAATTATTTCACAGATTTGCTTTCACAAGCAAAGAAAAGAAAATCTTAATAACTTGTAGTTCGCTGCCCATAGATACACTCTTGTGGTGTATATTTTTCCAGAATTCTGAAATGAAATCGTATCATATAGATGACTTTTGTAACATCACTCATGTAATAGATGGGATATCTTTAAATATACTTCTAGGGCCGGGATTTAGATCAGTGGTGCCACCGCCTGCCTTGCAAGCGCACGGTCTTGAGTTTGATCCTGGGTACCAATAAACAAACAAACAAACAAACATACTTGTGTAGCATCATTTGAGATGACTGGGTACTATGTTGTTGCACAGGTATCTCATAATTTACTCAACTAGACTGCTACTCTTAAACTTTTAAGTTGGTCTAACATTTTGTTGCTGTAAATGAGAATGTAACAAACATGCTTATAGTCTGATTTTTGGACACATTCTTAGTTATTTTTAAAATATTAATTCCTAGAAATGGCCCTTTCTTGCCAGGCCAAAGATTGTGTGTGTGTGTTTTTGTTTTTGTTATTTGCCATTCTGGGGATGGAACCCAGAGCCTTGCATATCCTGGGCTTTACCATTGAGCTATATCCCCAGCCCAGTTTTTTATTATGCATGCTATTATGACTAGAAAATATATTCTTAATGGGTAGTCTGACCCCAAAGAGTAATTATAATAATCATAAATAATCTGAATATATGATATTACCATTTTAAAAAGTAATGTTTAATTTTGAACAGTTCTAAGCTGGGTACAGTGACACATGCCTGTACCCCTAGCTACTTGGGAGGCTGAGGTGGGAGACTGCTTGAGCCTTCAAGTTCAACATCACCCTGGGCAACACAGCAAGATCACATATAAAAAGTGTGTGTATTTCTGGATACTTATAAAAGTATGCATTTATTCAAGAAACTGTGAAAAGAGCGGAGGTATGGCTCGGTGGGAGAGCTCTCGCCTAGCGTATTGGCACTGGCTAGATTCCCTGGGACGAGGGGAAAATGTTAGGTGAAAACAGAAAAATGAAAAGGATTTTCACTAATAGACCTTGTACTCAAAGATAACATTTATTTTTCAACTTTACTAACCTGATGGTTATGCTACACACTGGATTTTATATTATTTTCCCAAAGAGTAATAATTTGAGATACTAGATTTCTTATTCAAATAGACTGCTTCTAAATTTCTGGGGATTTTTGGATCTATTTTGTGTTCTAGGAGAAGGCATCTCCAGCAGCTAATGTCAGCACCCTTCCTTCGTGCTGGTGACGGTGATGCCTCCCCAGTCTAGCAGCGCATTCTCTTCCCTGGATGTGCAGGGTGGGGACGCTTCCTGCGCACCTCTCGCTGGGCCACTCAGTCCTCCTCTGGCAATCCCTCCCTCCACAGGTGTCAGAACTGGGAAGGCGGTATCGGTGGGGTGCCAGGGATGGAAGCACATGGCGGCTACACTTTCTGTGGCCTGGCTGCACTGGTGATCCTCCAGAAAGAACGCTGCTTGAACTTGAAGAGCTTACTGGTAGGTGTCTGTTGGGCCACTTACTCCCTGGGCTGGGGTCCTTGTGGTGGGACTCTGATCTGGGGGGTTTGGGCCATGGGAGGGCTAACCGAGTTCCAGCCTTGAGCTCACATGAGCTCCTGGGATGCGCTTTAGATGTGGTGCTGGGGCTCTGAGCACAGTGCTCAGGGAGGCACCGCACAGGGAGGCGAGCAGCTACCCTGTGATACACAGTGCCCTCTCCGCTCTCTTCTTCACTTTTCTGTGCCTGTGTCCAGTTTTCTACATAGTGTACTAGGTCGACTCTAGAGTCCTCTTTAAGTCCTGTAGACATTTTGGAATGAGCCAGAATACCTTTCTCATACTTCTACAAAAAGTATGGCTCGGTCCATTAGGATTTGCGGTGTCTCTGTCACAGGAAGAGTGTCCTAAGAGAAGAAGTCGTAAGGAGAGCTCTGAAGCGCTCTGAAGCCAAGCTTGCACTGCCAGTGTGAACAGTTAGTACCTGCGCTCAAGTGAGTTCTTCAGGCGGAGCTGGGCGGCTGTTTGTGGCCCAGCGTTTGTGTCTGGACCCAAGCTCCCGACCAGGACTCAGAGAGGTCAGAAAGCAGTCAGCTTCATGGAGTCCGTAGATTGTAGGTCACTGCTCGGGGGAGAGCTGAAACACAGAACACAGCCACACCGAGGGCTCCACTCTTGTCTCTGGGGAGCAGGAGCTCCTGCTATGACCTCACAGCAAACCAGCTCCCCGAGTTCAGGTGCCTGGACCCCGGGACTCTGTGATAGTCTGAGAGGTTTACCCGGCAGCTTTCTATCCTCGTCCTCAGGAAGCCTCCATGCTCTCCTTGAAGCCTCTTGAGGCCGTGGAGGTTGATGCTGAACTGAGCAGCTTTGTACACTGCACTCAAGAGTTTATGAGACGTTTACAAACCCGATCACTAACAAAGATGAAGCATGAAAGTCCACGTCCCAGGCAGAAATAGGGAGTATAATTTGTGACTGACAGTTCGCAAAGCTGTAACGATGATACTCGGATTTGATCCCAGTCTCTGCTACTTCCCAGCCAAATCACCTTGTATCTGTGCTGCCGAAGTGAGCACGGGCCAGGTGACTGCGCCAACGGCCAGTGTGTCTAGATTCACTGTTCTTCCTTCTGATAGACAAGAGTAACGACCTGTATTCTGTGCAGGTTAGAAGAGAGAACCTTTACAAACAGCCCAACACATAGCAGGTACTCTGAATGTTAGCGTCTCTCTCTAACCCAGGCTGCCCCCTTCCCTCCATTTGCTTTGGAAGGGCTACTTCCTGTATCTGAAGGGTCTAATGAATTCGTACAGCCAAGGGGAACAGAACCAATGCTTGGGCTCAGCACTGGGGGGAAAGACTGTCTGCCTTGAAAACACTTAACCTGTGGGATAAGTAAAAAGGGAGAATGAGTAGTGCTTAGCCTGCTTCTCTGAACTGGCACTGTCCCTACAGCACTGGCTCATTCTGACTGACTGGGGATGCGTTGCTACCTGAACCTGAAGTACAGTATTTTGGCGTCTTTTTTCCCTCCTCCATCTTTTAAGAATTTGGGGTTGTTGGAGCCAGGTGTGGTAGCACAAGCATTTAATCCCAGCACTTGGGAGGCTGAGGCAGGAGGATCACTAGCTAAAGGCCAGCCTGGGCTGCAGAGCAAGACCCTACCTCAAGAAAAACAGATTTTGGGGTGGTGACTCTGTGGACAGTGCTAAGGACTGGGAAGGAACGTAGATTCTACAGTGTCAAAGGATGGCTGGACCCTTCTGTGGAGTAACTCTAGAGTGCAGTCTAGGAAGGTGGCAGGTGCAGTAACCTCTGTACCTCTGGTTCAGTAAGTCAGCTCTGCATACAAGGGCTGGGGCTTGGACTCCTTCAGGCTGGGGAGGGAACTGAATGTTACATCTGCTCAGCCAGTTGGTTCTGCTCGTTCCTAGGAGCCACAGCTGTCTTGATCTTAAGGGTAGCGTGTGTAGAAAACTAGGAGGTAAGTGAGGAATGGTGTCACGTGTGACTACTGGATGACATCACCTATCGGTTTATAGCCTCAGAGTAAAAGAATTTCTCCCATCTGCTACCCAGGATCCTCTGGAGAAGTGAGGACTATACCAGAGGGTCATCACATGGTAATCAGGACGCTTGTAATCCTAGTGCTGAGGGAGGCCGAGACAGGAAGATTGCAAGTTCAAATCAATCTTGGCAATTTAGTGAGAACCTCTTTCAAAATTTAAAAATAAATAAAAAGGACGGAGGATGGAGCTCAGGGGTAGTATGTACCCTGGGATCTACCTCTGTTACCACCACCAAAACAAAAAGTCTCCAAGAAGAAACCCGAGATGAATGTCTTCCCGTACGAGGTGAAGTAGAACAGTTTGGAATAATCAGGTCAGATATGCCACAAAATCCCATGTATTTACTTGGAATAAACTTCCCTGAGCAGAGAAGTCATGAGAAAAGAGCTGCAGCTCTTGTCTCAGAGTCCCTGTGCAAGCCGTGTTTGCTACGAGACTTGTGTAGACCCTACAGGCCAGAGTGGTCTCTGTTCTCTCCGCCTCCACACCAGTTTGGAACTGAGGAAAAGGCGGTTGGTTGTCTGTTGGGCACTGGGCAGAGACCAGTGCTTGTTGCCTCAAAACTGAGTCTAAATAGTTGTGGCATGGAGGGGAGGAAGGGAAGACAGCAGGAGCCCTGAAGCCAAGGCTCAAGAAGCCACATGCCAAGGAGCCTCCTTCCCACTGCTGGACTGTGTGTGTCCTGCTCACAGCTGCCTCTGTCTCCGTGTCATTCTCAGCACTGGGTAACAAGCCGGCAGATGAGATTTGAAGGTGGATTTCAGGGCCGCTGCAACAAGCTGGTGGATGGCTGCTACTCCTTCTGGCAGGCCGGGCTCCTAACGCTGCTCCACCGTGCACTGCATGCTCAAGGTGAGCCAGGTTGTGCTGGCCAGGGTGGGGAAGCCAGGGCATGTGTCTAGGAGATCTTGTATCCTGGATACTGAGAGCTAGGTGTGGAACCTCCTGCCTTGGGACATGCATGTGTCGAGTAGCTTAGTTCCAGTACCTTAGGGTCTGTCATTGCTTCTTGGAACTGGCTGGGGCAGGGTGGGCACCCTTTAAATGGCTTTGAGTGGCTCTGCTATGCCGAGGGGCAGACGCTCCTGTCCTGGACCTATGGTGACGGTGGCCTCAGCTGGGTGTGAAGCCAGGTCACATCACGGCTGCAGACCCACACGATGCACGTGGTCACAGCAGTGATGGGAGTTGGTTGCATAAGGCAGAGAACCAGAGCTCTCTGGGGAAATGTCCACCAGGCCTGGCTGATAGCTGTCACCGTTAGAAATGTTTTAAGTTCACTGAACCATCATAAACGCACTTTTGTTCTACCTGTACCATAGACTGGAGAAATCCACATCCTTTTTTTGTGGGAGATGCAAAACCAAAACAGAGCAGAAACTCTGGGAACATTCCCTCCTTTGCTGCCTGCTGCCTCCTGAGTCCTTGCCCTCATTTACTTTCTCTGAGAGTGACAGCAGGAGAGGGGATGTCGTGGCTACCTTGCTGGGTGCTGATCTGTTCCTGCAGAGATCTCTTGGCCCAGAGGGAAGCTTTTCTTTGGACTCTGTTGAGTAATTAATTAATTTGCTCAAGTATAAAAGATGAGATTCTTTTCTTCTGCCCACACCCTTTTCCTTCTTGTTTGTTCTTTCTGAGCCTCATTCTTTAGTTTCTTAATTTCATTGGAGTTATTGGATTGTGGCCACTTTGGACTCAGGTTACCAGAGTTTCTGTCATCTTCCTCTTCCCGGCCTGGGACCTCTGGATTTAGGTCCCAGGGTATTAAGGAAATAATTCCCCTGACTCTGGAGCCTGCACAGTCTGAGCTTGACCACTAACTAAAGGGATGGCAGGAATCCCCTGGGAGGCCAGTGTTTCCAAAAAAGGAATGACTTGGTGTATTGGTGAACTCTGTGTTTGGAACTGATGAGATCAGGCACCTGGGAAAAAGCCTCAGTCTTTTGCAGTCCTGTCCTTGGCAGGGATGAGATGTTGTAATTCTGCAATGCCAGGAAATCTAGAGAGCCGTAGCAGGGGCACTAGGGACCTGGCTGATAGTGTGGGTCTTGAAGTTCCATTCAGTTCCATTCAGATCTTTGCTTAGGGAAAATGCTGCCTGGAAACCTTGGATCTTGTTTTGTTGCCTGGGGCGAGGCTTGTGTAGACCTGAGCCCTTCCCCTTCCCCTTCCTCCAAAAGGGTGAGTTCCTCCGACTTGGAACAGACTGGAGTCTGGGAGGAAGGGGTGTGTTTTGAGCAATGGACAACATATTGACTTTGCATTCTAAAGGAGATGAATTGTAGAAACGTATTCACTCCATACTATCATCATAGGTAGGTTTCAAAGAATATGTGTAATCTTTTTTTTTGGTACTGGGGATCAAACTCGGGCCCTTGTGCTAGTGAGGCAGGTGCGGTAACCACTGAGCTAGATCCCTGGCCCTATAATCTCTCCCTCTCTCTCTCTCTCTGTTTTTTTGTTTGTTTGTTTGTTTTGTTTTGTTTTGTTTTGTGTTTTGAGACAGGATATCACTCTGTAGTTGAGACTGACCTGAAACTCACTATGTAGCCCAGGCTGGTCTCGAACTCACAACAGTCCTCCTGCCTCAGCCTCCTGAGTGATGGGTTTATAGGTATGTGCCACCACGCCCAGCTTGTAATCTCATTTTTAATGAAGACTTGGCACTTAAGAATTAATAGAAAGAGTGCTTGCTTCAGCAGCACATATACTAAATAAACAAACAAACAAACAAACAAATGAACAACATGGAGAAGATTACAAGGGTAACACAAATTCCATATTTAAAAAAATGAATAGAAAGACTCTGAGATGTGAAATTACAGATGATGTTTATCTTTTTTTGTTTGTACTATATTTTCTATTTTTCTACAGTCAATATGTATTTCTAGTATAAAGAAGAACAGCAAAGATTATTTTACAAAAGAAGGGAAAATTATCTAAACAAAACAGTAAGAAGATAGGAAATATATTAGTGACAGATGATGAAGGGCCAGTTAACTTGAAAAGTGTCATAAAAATCAGTAAGAAATGGAAGAACACTCACCTGAAAAGTGGCTTAATAATCTGAACAGACAGGGCCTAGAGAGAAAGCCATTGCCATTACCACTTTTCCTTCATAGCTGTTCCTCTACTGGTGGCAGCTGAGACTTCCCAAGCACTCATGATATTGCCTGGCCTTATTGAGCATTTTGCCTCCATTTTCTCATTTGAAGCTCAGAACAGCCCTATAAAATAGGTATTTTGCCATTCCCATTTTGCAGACATGAAAGCAAAGTCCATGAGGCGAAGTGACTGGTGGTGTAGACATAACTGCTACCAGCAGCAGTTAGCAGGTTGGCTGTGTGACGGCAGACCAGCTGGCCGCAGGGTTGTCCCACGTATTTATAGTTAAAGAAATGCACACAGAGCAGTGGGACACTATTCCTTATTACCCGATTGGCACAAACTTAAAAACTTGATGTGCATGCTGTGTCCAGGAGAGTGGGAAACAGCTGTTTTGTATGGTTGGTGGGGATGTACAGAGGCACATCGGCTCTTGGAGCACAGTCTAGAGACTCTTTGAATTGTAAGGGCACTTACTCTTTGAACTCAGCAAGTGCATGTCAGGAACTGGCCTGCAGAGATCTTAGCAAAAGATGTGTATTGAATTAGAGTTCTAATAGCAAACCTGGAATGCCCATCAAAAGGTTAACAGCCAAATAATCGTGATCTCTCCAAACAGCACCCACATCACTGACTCCATGCATGGGGCTGGCGTGGAAAGTGCTCCCACATACCACATAAAGCATGAAAGGCCGGGCCTGAACACTCATGTGCACACAGGCTGGTCTACGTCAGCTTTTCTTGGAAGCATATGCAAAACTCTTCTAGCGAGCTGGGCATGGTGATGCAGGCCTGTAGTCCCAGCACTCTGGAGGCTGAAGGAGGAAGCACAAATTTGAGCCCAGTCTGCACAATTTAGCTACTTAGTGAGACCCTGTCTCAAAGTGAAAAAGGGCTGGGATATAGCTCAGTGGAAAGGCCCTGGGTTCAAGCTCCTGTACCAAAGAAAGAAAAAAACAAAAACCAAAATCAGAACAACTCCTCTAACAATAGGTACCTTTGATAGGTGAGTAGAAGACAGAAGAAGGGATATTACTTAGTGAACTATGTCTTTTTGAACTATATGCTTTAAAAACATATACAGGGCTGAGACATAGTTCAGCGGTACTGCGCCTGTCTCACGAACACGAGGTCCGGAGTTTGATTCCCGGTACCACAAAAAATAAAAAAAATAGGCATTATACTTGTGGTTTTTAGTAAGCAAATACATTTTAAATTTTTTATTTAAAAAATGTTCAGGGGCCAAGCATAGTGGCACACACCTGTATTCCCAGCACACTGGGAGGCTGAGGCAGGAAAATTACAAGTTCAAGCCCAGCCTAGGCAATTTAGTTAATTGCATTATTTTGAGACTCTGTCTTAAAGTAAAATAAAATAAAATAAAAAAGACTGTGAATATGGCTAACTTGATTTCAATCTCCAATACCAAAAAAATTTTTTTTGTTTTGCTTTTCTTAATTACTTAGAGTCCTTAACAGTCAGTTTTTATATATCCAAGGCACTCTCAATTCAAACTTCGGCAGGATTTTCTTTGGGGGGTACTGAAGTTTGAACCCAGGGTCTTCACATTGATCTATATCCCTAAACCTTTCTTTTAAAAAAATTTACATTTTGAGACAAGATCTTGCTAAGTCACTAAGTTGGCCAGGACGCTTGAACTTGGATTCTTCCTGCCTCAGAGTCCCCAAGTATTAGGATTACTATACAGACCTCTACCACCATGCTTGACTCCAGCACTTTTTTTGTAAGTCTATAAATTGATTCTAAGTTGTTTATGAAAATGAAAAAAACTAATAGGTAGGTGATGGTGCATAAACCACCTGATTTAAAGACATACTGTGAAGCTGAGTCAAGAGAATGTTGCCTACGGGGGTGTTGCATGCCTGTAATCTCAACACTCTGGGAGGATCACCCCAGTTCAAGCCCAGCTTGAGCAATTTAGCGACTTAGACCCTGTCTCACAATAAAAAAGGGCTGGGCGCCAGGCACAGTGGCATTTACCTGTAATTCCAGTCTGGTGAGAGGCTGAGGATCTCAAGTTTGAGTCCTACCTGGGCAATTTCATGAGACTTTGTCTTGAAATCAAAACTAAAAAGACCTGTGGATATAGCTCAGTGGTGGAGTACCTCTGGGTTCAATCCCTAGCACCACCAATGTAGTATGTGTGTGCTAAGGGTTAAGCCCAGGGGCATACGTGTGCCAAGTGCGGACACTACCACTGCATCCCCGGCTGCAATACATCTTGAAAAATGTAATGACTGGGCCGGGAATGGGGCTCAGTGGCGGTGTGCATACCTAGTATACATGAGGCCCTGGGTTGGATCCCCAGCACCATCGAAGAAAAAGGCAACGATCATACTGCTCACAATAAAGAAAAGGTTTGACACAGCACAGAGCCCAAGCCCGGCCCTTCCCTGACTCAGCGACTCAGCAGGTGACCATCAGGAACTCCCTGCCAGGGTCGACCTCCTCATCAGAAACAACGTCTGAGTAGGAGAATGGATTATTATTTTTCCCCCATTAAGTTTATTGGTACATTTAAAGTGAACAATACAGGTACAGTCATCATTGGGACCTTGTACCTTTCCATGACAGGTCTTGGTTCTTGTTTTTTCCCCACACCCCTGCCCTCCCTTCTCTCCCTTCACCCTTCCCTATTTACGAAGATTATGTTTTCCTTTTTCCCTTTTTTCACGTTGTTTCTTTCCCCTGATTTCTTCTCCCCTTCCCCTCCCCTTCCCACTTCTTCAGCTATTTTCTTCCCATCTCACACTCTCAATGATACCAGAAGGGATTATTATTAATAGCTGACAGATGCCCAGTGATAACTCAGTGTTGTTTCATTTTATGGACCCACACAGAGCAGCAGCCTCTGGGCTGGCGGACACTAGACGTACCTAGGCCTTTTCTTGTCCATCTGTGGAGTGGAGCTATGTGGTGCTGTGCCTGAAAGTTATAGGTTAGCAAGACTTTTGATTTGTTAGACAAAAAGAACCTTGAAATGCAGAATAACCTGATAGTGGGGATCTGTAATTCAAGAAGAGGAGGTATAAAGGATTTCAAAGGCAGATTTCCATCTGTGGTTTAGCACCCTGTCATCGTATCTCCTTTTGTATGTGCTGGGGTTCAAATTCAAGATTTCAGGCTTGTAATCCCAGCACTGTAGGAGGCTGAGGGCAGAGGATTGCAAGTTCGGGCCCAGCCTGGACAATTTGGCAATTTCACAAGACCCTGTCTCAGAAATTAAAAAAATTTTTATAGAAGGGCTGCTGATGTAGCCGGTGTGAAGGCCCTGGGTTCAGTCCCCAGTACTATTAGAAAACAAAAGCAAAAACAAAAATCAAGATTCCTGAAAACTCCTTATAGAGTTTATGAACTCTGAACTCTTAAACTTCAATAAGTAACTGAAACACCCTAATCTTTTTAGTAATGAATGTAGCACTTTCCTTTCAGATTCCAGTTTTCAACATAGGTTAATTTACCTCATAGCAATAGTTTTTTGTTCTAGGGTATGAAATAAGAGTGTAAAAAAAAAAGAAATAAGGGTGTATTTTATATAAAATTTTTGATGCAGTTATCCCAAAGTTTAATAAATATGCTTTTTAAAATAACAGCTTAAAAAATAAAAAATAATATAATAGCTTTGTGGAGATATAATTCACATACTGTATAGCTCAGCCATTGAAGTATATAATTCAGTGGTTTTTAATGTGTTCATAAAATTATACAACCATCATCACAATAAATTTTACAACATTTTCAACACCCTCCCCCCAAAACCCATACCCTATATATAGTATGTATTTCAGCACACATAAAAGAACAAAAAGAAATAGGTAGAGCCTATATTATAGAAAAATATAATAAAAAGTTAGATTAATAAAAATTGGCCATTAGACTTCAGGACAGAGTATATACACTCTCAAAAGGTAATTCAGGGCTGGGGATTTAGCTCAGTGGTGCCGCCATCTGCCTTGTAAGCGTGAAGTCCTGAGTTTGACCCCAAGTACCAAAGGGGGGAAAGAAAAAGGAAATGCAACTAGTAATAAGAAGTTATGGGAAAAATTTCTTCCTATTTAGTAGTCAAAGGCTTGCAAATCAAAATAAATGAGTAGATACAATTTTTGCTGACCATTTTAATTGCAGAGAATTGGGTGGGGGTGGGGTTGCTACAAAAAACAGAATTTCCTTTGTAGATAGATTAAGTTCTGGCTTAGAAAAGCAGGAGAATGAGCAGGACGTGTTATCCGTGCAAAGAATTTCTTTAGCTGCTTAGTCTCGCTGACAGTTTCAGTGTGGGGTCACAGTGATGCTAGAGGAAAAGTCCTCGGGTGCCTGGAGGGAAGTGTGAGGACCAGTTCAGGAACAGGCACATCGTGCTAGGGCAGAGCTGGACGGCTGGAGCATTCAGGTCAGCAGGGTGAGTGTCAAGGCAGGGGAGCCTCTGCTGTGAACAGCTGCCCCTGCCTCACGCCAGGTTAGGGGCATGTTGGGAGGACAGGAAGTGCAGGGCCAGGCTCTCCCCTCTGTGTGGTAAAATGCAAATGATCGCTGCTCCTCCTCCTCCTCCTCCTCCTCCACCTCGGCTGACCCTCTTCCCTTCACAGGCGACCCAGCCCTCGGCATGAGCCACTGGATGTTCCACCAGAAGGCCCTGCAGGAGTACCTGCTCATGTGCTGCCAGTGCCCCGCGGGAGGCCTTCTGGACAAGCCCGGCAAGTGAGTTCTGCCCTTGGGGAGCGCAGGGTGACAGGGAAGGCTGGGTCCCTTGGGGCCGCTCAATGCTAGTGTGGCCAGGAGGAGTTCAGTGGAGAGTGTCCCCTTCGAGGCCCCATAGTTCTGCCCCTGCAGCTGCCCACGCCATCCCCATCTCCCACCCTGCTCTTCCCCAGACTGCGGAATGGATTGCTCAGTTGATGTCTTTCTTCATCTCCCCCTTTTTTTGGTAAGCCAAACTGATTTAATTAAAACAGGATGTGAGCTGGGGGTGTAGCTCAGTGGTAGAGCACTTGCTCAGAATGCACAAGGCCCACATACTCCCTGCTGCTGTCGGCATCAGGGGAAGACCAGCCCAGCCATTATCAGGAAGAATGTGGCTCACTTCTGGACGTTTTGGTCTTTGTCTAGAGAAGTATGTTAATTAGCCTCAGCACCTCCGGGAGAGCTGCTTCCAGATAGCTGGAAAGACCAACTCTAAAGCTACAGTTACCACGGCTGGGGCACTGCTCCATGGTGCAGCGCTTGCCTCCCATGTGCAAGGTGCTGGATTTGATCCCCAGCACCACCGGGGGAGGAGTCAGATGAGGTCCTGCTGTGGGCCAGGGTTGGAGGATGGGCTTCCAGACCCACTGCCGGGCAAGGCTGCGCCTGATCCAGCTGAGCAGGGGTCAGGGTGGGATGCGCAGTCCCCACATGGGCCCTGGGTCCGTGGAGTCACATTTGGGGGTGTGAGGGTGCAGGGGGTGCCTGCTCAGAGCTGCCTGTCCTTCAGGTCTCGAGACTTCTACCACACCTGCTACTGCCTGAGCGGCCTGTCCATCGCCCAGCACTTCGGCAGCGGAGCCATGCTGCATGACGTGGTGGTGGGGGCGCCCGAGAACGCTCTGGTAAGGCGGGTGGGGCTCTGTGCGCTTCCCTCCCTGGTGCTAGGACAGAGGGTGGAGAGGGCAGAGCAGCCACTCTTGTCCCGCAGAACCAGCTGTGTGGGGGCACTGGGAAGCTTGGGTTCCTTGCCCTCATCTAGTTTTACAGCCTCTAGTGAGGCTGTGATCTTGGAGGGAGTGCACTCTGGAAAACTCGGGTCCTGGGGAGATTTTCTGCCTTTGTTCCAGAGTTGGTGCCCCACTGACCTCTTTCTCAGACAGCCTGTGAACCCCAGCCGGTGGTGAAGGGCTGATACTGTCTCTCATGGAGGTCTCAACTTAGAAATGTCTGTTCTGAAAAGGACAGGGCCCCAGAAGCGCTGTCTTGTGCTCCCCTACAACCTGCCACATGTTTGTTTATTGTGTGCTTGTCTGCTTACCTCAAAAGATGTCAGGCCTGGGCTTAGGGTGTCACTCAGTGGTAGCGCTCTCGCCTAGCATGCCCACGCAAGGTCTTGGGTTCCATCCCCAGCACTGCAAAGAAAAAATAGGTGTCAAAGCCAGATGTGATGGTGCAGCGCTAGGGAGGCTGAGGTGGGAGAATTGTCACAAGTTTGAGGTCAGCCTGGATACATAAATGAGTTCAAGGCCAGCCTAAACTGCATAGCAAGGCCCTGTCTGGGAAAAAAAAAAAAAAAAAAAAAAACAAAAAAAGTGTCAGAGCTAAGCCTGGTGGTACAAATGTTTAATGCCAGCACTCTGGGAAGCTGAGGCAGGAGGAAGATTACAAGTTCAACCCCAACCTGGGCAATTTAGCATCTTAGTGAGACCCATGTCAAAGTAAAAAACTTAAGGGGCTGGGGATGTAGCTCAGTGCAAAGGCCCTGAGCTCAATCCCCAGTACTGGAAAAAAATGATGTCCACCTGTGAGGGTAGGATGTTCCCCACTGCAAGCCGTCCCACAACAGCTTGGCAGGGGACGCTCTGAGCCTGTGTAAGAACCCAGGACAGGCACCCCACAGAGACGGTCACCGTGGTCACATGTGGGCCTGTATAGGTGGTCACAAGCATGTGTTACAAAGGCCTGCTTCCCACTTCACAGGTAGAAACACTGAAAGCTGCCTATTAGGAGGCTGCCTTCTTTTCTCATCTGTGCCTTTTTAATCTTCCCTGTTCATTCAAACAGCAGAATGGCTGACAGATCTCATTCGAACTTCTTCAGATTATAGAACAACTGTTCAGCATTTTTGGGTCCTCTCTCCTTTCCCTGTTGGCCTCTCTGCAACCCTCTTCCATTCTTTTCCCTCCCTGAGATGACCGTGCCCTAAATTGGACTCAAATCACATCACCGACATTTTTGTACTCTTATTACATGTGTTACCCATAAACAGCATATATGTAGTTTTTTTGGCTTTCTTTCAGACTTTTCATAACAATAACTGTATTAGTCTGTGCTCTCTAGAGAAACAGATTTAATGCAAGATATACAAATATATAAGAAGTTACGAATTGGCTTAAAATGGCTGCCCAGAGTCAGGTGTGGAAGAGTGCGGAAGGGTTGTCTGGGGCCAGACATGTAGCTTTGTGGCAGCATGCCTGACTGTCATTCTTGATGCTACTGTGAAAGGTGTTGTTTCTCTAATTCCTGTCAGTGAGTTTATTATTTGTGTACAAGAAAACTATTGCGGGCTGCGGATTTAGCTCAGTGGTTCTGCCACCAGCCTCACAAGCACAAGGACCGGAGTTCGATCCCCAGTACCAAAAAACAAACAAACAAACAAAAAAATCTTTTTCTTTTTTGAGACAGCGTTTTGCTCTGTAGTCCAGGCTGGCCTCAAACCCCAGGCAGTCCTCCCACCTCAGCCTCCCCAATGCTGGGATTACAGGTGTGCGCCACCACACTTGGTTTGAGAATGAATGCTCTTGATTTTTGAGTATTGAGCTTGTATCCTGCTGCACTGCTAAATTTGGTTATTTATTCTAGGAGTCTTTTGGTGGAATTTTGAGGCTCTTCTATGTAGGGTATCATGTCAGCAAGTACTGATAATTTAACTTCTTCCTTTCCTATCCATAGTCCTTTTGTTTCTTTTTCTTGTCTAAGTGCTCGGGCTAATATTTCCAGAACTATATTGAACGGGAGTGGTGACAATGGGCATCCTTGTCTTGTGCCTGATTTTAGAGTGAAGCTTTCAGTTTTTTACCACTTAGTGTAATGTTGGCTATTGATTTGTTATAGATGGCTTTCATCTTATTGAAATAAAGACCTTACATTCCAATTTTCAGTAGAGATTTTATCATGAATGGATATTGGACTTTGTCAAATGCTTTTTCTATGTCTATTGAAGAGCCTGTGGTTTTTGTTCTTGGTTCTGTTAATGTGGTGTATTATTTATTGATTTGTGCATGTTGAGTCATCCCTGCATCCCTGGGATGAATCCTACTTGGTCATGATTTGCTGCATTCTGTTTGCCAGTATCTTGTTGAGGATTTTTGCATGTATGTTCATTAAAGAAATTGGCCTGTAGTTCTCCTTTTTGGTTGGATTTGTCTCTGTTTTTATTTTCAGGTTAATGCTTGCTTTTAGGAATGAGTTTGGGAATATTGCTTTTCTTTCAATTTCATTAAGGAGTTTGAGAAGTAGTGCCATTAGATCGTCTTTAAAGTTCTTATAGAATTCAGCAGTGAATCCATCAAGGCCTGGGCTTTTCTTTGTTGGCAGGTTTTTAATTACATCTTCAATTTCAATGACTCATATTGGGTAGTTTAGAATTTTTATATCTTCTTGATTCAGCTTTGGTAATTCATCTGTATCTAGGAATCTGTTTCCTTCATCTGTGTTTTCCATCTTCTTAGAATATAGGTTCTTGAAGTAGGTATTGTTGATCTTTTGGATTTCTGCAGAATCCAAGGTGATTTTGCCCTTTTGATTCCTAATTTCATGGATTTGAGCCTTTTCTTTCCTTTTGTTGATAAGGTTGGCTAAGGACTTGTCTATTTTAATTAATCTTTTTTTTTTTTTTTTTTTTTTTTTTTTTTGGTACCGGGGATCGAACTCAGGTCCTTCTTGCACTTGCAAGGCAGGTGGCAGAACCACTGAGCTAAATCCCCAGCCCCTACTTTAATTAATCTTTGGCAGAACCAACTCTTCATTTCCTTGATTCTTTGTATTATTTTCTTAGTCTTCATTGCTTTACTTTCTGCTCTGATCATTATAATTTCCATTTTGGGTTTAACTTGCTTTTTTTCTAGAAGCTTAAAGTTCAATGTTAGGTTATTTAATTGAGCTTGCTCTGTTTTTCTGATGTGGGAATTCACTGCTGTAAATTTCCCTTGTTGGACTTTAATTGCATGCCCTGAGTTCCAGTATGTTGCATTAGTATTATAGTTTAGTCATAGAAACTGTCTAATTTCTTCTTTAATTTCAGCTGTTACCCATTGGTTGTTCAGGAGGATATTATTTAATTTCCGTGTGTTTATGTCCATGGTTTCTTTTGCCATTGATTTTCAATTTCATTGCACTATAATCTGATAATATGCACAGATAATTTCTATTCTTTTGCATTTATTTAAGCATGATCTATGAAGTAGTGTATAGTCTGTTTTGGAGAAAGTCCTTTGTGTTGCTGAGAAGAATGTACGTTGTGTTGTTGCATGAAATACTCTGTAGATATCTACTGAGTCCATTTGTTCAAAGGTTTGGTTCAGCTCCGATAATTTCTTGTTTCTTGTCTAAATTGATCCATCTATTTATGATATTGAGGTCCCCCATTACAATTGTATTGGTGCTTATCTGATTTTTCATATCCATAAGTGTTTGTTTTATATAATTGGGTATGCCAGTATTTGGTGCATATATATTGATGATTGTTATCTCTTTCTCTTGGATTGTTTCCTTAACAAGTATGTAGTGACCTTCTTTGTCTCTTCTAATCAGTCTTGGCTTCAAATCCACCTTTTTTTTTTGTACTGGGAATTGAACTCAGGCCCTTGTGCTTGTGAGACAGGAAGCAGAACCACTGAGCTAAATAGCCCTTCAAATCCACTTTGTTTGCAAATAAAATAACTACCTATGCTTTCTTCCAGATTTTTGTCACATGGAGTATTGTTTTCATCCTTTGACTTTCAATCTGTGTATTTCTTTTGAGTTAAATGTTTTTCTTGTATGCAGCATATTGTTGGATCTCATTTCTTGATACATTCTGCCAATCTGTTTCTTTTGATTGAATTGAGACCATATACATTGATGGTTATTCCTGACATACATTAACTTATCCTTGTCATATTCTTTTCCTGTTGTTGATTCCCTTTCTTTTCCTTCTGTTTAATTACTTGCCTTCCCTGGTGGATACATTCTATTGGGATTCTTGAAATTGTTGTCTTTTTCTAAAATATTCTTCCAAACTTTTAGGACTGCTGGTTTGGTGGTAATGAACTTCTTCAGGTTTTCTTTATTATGGAAGTATCTTATTTCTCCATCAATTTTGCAAGAAAAGTTTGTGGGATACATCGATCTGGATTGTAGGTTCTCTGTCTCTCTTTCTCTTTTTTTAGAGCTTGAAATACTTCACCCCAAGTTCTCTTTGACTTAAGGGTTTGTGTTGATAAGTGTGCTGTGATTCTAATATGTTTTCCTTTATAGGTGATTTATTTTGTTTAACAGCTTTTGTGTTCTGTTCTTGTGTTGAATTTCTGGAATCTTGTCTATATATGCCTTGGTATAGTTCTTTTTTATCATGATTATTAGTTTGTATATGCCTCATTTATCTGTATTTCATGTTCTTTTTCCCTGCTTGGAAAGTTTTCTGCTATTACTTTTGTGAACAGGTTTTTTTATGCCCTTTAGATTTCTACTACATGAGTTTTATGGAATCCAGTTGTTTCTCTGTTGGGCATTCATAGTTTCCATGTCTTTTCTAAGGTCCTCTTTTTTAAAATTGGTATCTACTCTAGATTCACTAATCATTTTCTTCATTTTGATTGTCATCTCTTTAATTATATGTTTTGTTTTTGTCAAGAGACTTATT